TCACACCTTAGTATAGGTTATTTTAATCAAATCTATCTCTAATTGATAGCCTTAGTGAAATGGATTTTTAATGGGAAGTAAGGAGGGAGTAGAGAGAGGGAGACCACGGCAGCAGTGGTGCTAAAGAGGTCAAATTCTAATGACCTTTTCTCCCTTCTGCTTACTAAAGCTCCTCTCTCTCTCTCTCTCTCTCTCTCTCTCTCTCTCTCTCTCTCTCTCTCTCTCTCTCTCTCTCTCTCTCCATATTTATAATGAATACTTCTTATTTCCTCAGCCAGATACTCTACAACCTTATCTCTTAGTAATTCTGAGGATCCCTTTGTGGGGGTCAGAATGCTTTAAATGCTTTAAATGTTCTGATGAGAGGTGAGTTAGGGTGGAGGTAGTAAGGGAAAGCTTCAAGAAAAGGTTGGATTTGAGTTTTTACTAGATTTAAATTCAATAAGTATCTGTTAAACTCATGATTATGTAAGGCTTTGAATTGTGATATATTGTCATTTGTAGCCTTTGTTAGGAATTTGTACACCGTCCTTCAAAAGGTATGTTGCCATATAACTATCTCTTTCACAGTGATGTCTTATCAGTTTTTTTTGAAGAACTACCATATTTAAGTGTCATAGATTGGCCATATGTTATGTAAGTTATTTTATGAAAGTTAATTGTCTAGATTTTTAAGTAAATGTTTCACACTATAATACATTATGAAAAAAATACTGATGAGTTTTCATGATCCCTCTCAAATTTGAATATTCAAATAGATACCTTTTTTTGGTGGGCAAGGTCTAGTGTAGTTGCTGACTTTGGAGTCAGGAGAAACCTGGGTTCAAATTTTATATCTGATAATACTTAATAGTTGTGGGACCATGGGTGAATCATTTGACCTTTCTGATCCTTAGTTTTCTTATCTGTAAAATGGGGGTGATAATGCCTGTAAGACCTACTTCTCAGGGTTGTAGAGAGGATTAAAGGGGATGATTGTATAAAGAACTTTGTAGTATACAAATGCTAACTATTATTATCAGTCCTTTGTGAAGTTACATTATCTTTACTTCCTACACCTCCCACATAGCCCTAATAAATTCATTAACATATTCCCAAATAGAAATCCACAGTCTACATGATGGTTTTGTGAAATTACCAGCTTCTTAAATTATAGAATTAAGAGTGGGTTGAGTCAATAATTTCAATTTCAGTAACCAGGATTTGACTATAAAAATGTTTACAATTTATGTGTAGTATGAATTTCATTATACACCCAAAGGCCTGTGATAAATATAGAAAAGTGTTGGAAGAACTCATAGAAAATAGAGAGATCGGGGCAGCTAGGTGGCACAGTGGATAGAGCACCCCCCTGGATTCAGGAAGACCTGAGTTCAAATTCGACCTCAGACACATAACACTTACTCGCTGTGTGACCCTGGGTAAGTCACTTAACCCCATTGCCCAGCCAAAAAAAAAAAAAAAAAGAGAGATCAAACACATTATGTGAAATTGCTAAACATTGCATTATTAATTAGTGGAAGTGATTAAGGTGCACCCCATGGAAAATTTGGGGGGAGATGGTTAAATTCAAGTTTTTTATTGTTAAACATACTGATATATTATTCTAATTACTTTATCAAAATGATATTCATTTGTACTCCATTACCAAAAATGAGTTATACATAATGAAAAGTTCCTATGAATATAAAAATGACAAAGTAAAGAACTGGTATAATAAAGAAAGCCTAAAGCATCAACAAAGGTGATCTATTGCTCCAGGTGACAGATATTTAGAGATAGGCTAGTGAAAGAGATATGTGTCCTGATGTGATCATGTCAGCTTAGAATTCAGAACTGGGCACAGTGATGGCAAGGCAGTGTAGATTTAAGGATGACCGTCTACCACATCTCTTCCCCTATTGAAAAAGTTGCCAGGACCCAGAAGAACCATGTACACAAGAACCACAATAGTGCTTAAATGAAAACAGCGGTAAAAGACATGAGAATTCACAGTATACACAATGTCATATCTTGGGGCCAGAGAACTGAAGATGAAATAAAATACTGTCAGTAGAGAGGGGTAGACTGTAGGTGGGAATTGATGTTTATTAGTGGTTCTCAGGCCTTTTTTGCTCATGGTAGTTTTTGCCTTGAGGAATCATGGCATACCTAATATTTAGTGTGACAACAAAAAATTATTCCCAGACAAGGGGAGATCTAGAACTATTAATGGTAGATGAGATTCCACTTCTTCTCCTTTCTTAGTCCACACCCCAACCCTCTTCTTTCTTTATTCCCCTGAGACTCACAGTGGAGGAGGGAGCAAAGAGAGTTACTACTGTGAAGCAAAGATGAGAAGGGAGAAAACTGAAGATGGAGAAAGGGTAATTTGAGAATTAGGGGAACCTCAGTGGTGATCCAGACTTACCCATACATGAAAGAATGCCTACTCCAACATACCAATTAAGTAAGTCTGTTTGAAGACCTTGGAGGAGGGAGAAGCCTCTGCCTCTTGAATCTGCCCATTCCAATTTTGAGCTGATCTTATTGTTAGGAGGTTTTGTTCCTGACATCAAGCCTGTTGGTTTCTTTGAAACTTGTACTGGTTGTTCCTGGTTCTGCCTTGTGGAGCTAAACAGAACAAGTCTAACCACAATAGCATTTCCACTTCTGCTTCCTGAATCCAAATCAAATATTTTTTTTCCACTGTCTGGTTGAGAGAATATGTTACATAGGCAGGAAGAAATCATTTGCACAGGTAGGGGGGTAGGATGTCGAGTTCAGAAAACAGCTTGTTGGCCACTTTGGTTAAAATACAGCATTTGAAGAGGAAACACATAATAAGGTAAGAAGATAAATTAGAATCCCATTGTGGTCTTTAAATATCAGACTGAGAAATTTGTAATATAATATAATGCCACTGAGGGCTTTTGAAGAAAAGAGTTACATAGACCTATCTGTGCCTTCAGAAGATTATTTTGACGACTGTATGGAGGATGGACAGGAGAAGATTAAGCTGTTTGATGGTTATTTCCAATTAGTCTCAGTATGCTCCAGTGTCCTGATAATGCCACTTTACCCTGACAACTAGAATATAAGCTCCTTGAGTTCAGAGACTGTTTGATATTTTTTATTTGTATTTCCAGGCCTACTGGAAAGCTGAAGGTACTCAATATATACTTGAGGAATTGAATTGAAAGAAGAGTTCCTATTCACTGTCCTCTCTTGTTTACTCAGACATTAGTCTACACCAAGCCTTTTCCCTTTCTGTAACTTAAGAGCAACCTTAGTTTAGGATTTCATTATCACCTTTTTTTCAAAAATCAAGCACAATGTCCTACCATCTACTCAGGGAAGATTAAAAAGTGTGTTTCCCGTAGTGGACCTCAATGGGGATTTTTTCAATTAAAAGTCTCATGAGAAAGACCTTTAGGAGATTATGTAATATAATCCTGTCTTCCCCTTTCTCATGTAATTTAGGGATAAGTCACACTTATATTCCATCTTAAGTATTTTTAGATTAAATGAATCAGAAATACAGATTTTCTTTTTAAAAGCAAAGTTTTTAAAGTATATTATTCTGTTAATTATATTTAAGTATTAATATATTCTTTCTATGGGCATGTTACCATAATCTTCCTTCCATGGGTATATTACCATAATCTTCTTTCCAGTTTTTTATAAGGAAGAACCACTTCTTCTTTCTCTTCTTTACTTACCATTCCTAAAACCACCATCCTAGTTCAGGCTTTTCTTAGGACTATAGCAATGTCTCCCTGGTTCTTTCCTTTTTATTTATCCTTCTTAACTCCTGCTAGAATAGTCTTCTTAAACAAGCAGTAATGTAATTGAATGGTTCTCCTTCTGAAAGCCCTCTAATGACTTCCCATTGCTTGAATCCAAATTCTCTAGCCTTTCATCCAAGGCCCTCAATAATCCAAACCTACTTTTCTAGTCATCTCCTATGAGAAAGTGCCCCATGCCCTGGTCAAACTGTACCACTTGTCATTCTGATTATGCCTTGTGCTTTTCTACTTTGGTACCTTTCTTCATTGTATTTCCTCCACTTAGAGTGCTTTTCCTCCCTACCTCCACATTTCAGAATACTCACCATCCTTCAAAGCCCCGATCAAAGGCTGCGCTCTGTAATGCCTTTGTGGACTACCTTGAATGGAAGTAAGTTGTCTCTCTTTAGAGCGTGATAGCAGTTCGTACCATTGTTATGGTGCTTAGCACATAGGTTGTCTTCCATTAGAGTTGTTAGTGTTTTATGTCTTATATCCCCTGTGAGACAGTAAACTTCTTGAGAGTTAGAATTACCTTTTATTTATCTCTGTAGCAAAATGTTTAACATAGTACTTTGCACATAAAAGCAGCTCGGTAGACAATGTAATCAAAAGAGTATTGGACTTGTAGTCTGGAGACTTCAGTTTGAATCCAATCTCTGTCACTTCTTAATGACTTTGGGCAAGTCATTAATTACTCAGAACCTCAGTTTCTCTTTCTGTAAAATGGGAATACTAATGTTTGTTCCACTTGTGTCAAAAAAATTGGGGGGCAAAGGCACTTTGTAAACTAATATGCTATATTTGTGTGTGACTTATTTATATAATATTAGGTATAAGAATGATGATGACAGTGATAATGATCTATTTAGTGAACAAGTGAATTTGAAACCTTGAGACGACCAGAGGATGATGGGCTAGTAACAAAATACTTGAGCATTGCTATTGTTATCTTTGTACTCTCTCCACTGGGAGTTCTAGTAACCCAGGCAAGAATGAGGTGGTGGGAGGAGGGGGACAGGGGGCTGCCAGCTTAAAGGACCATCCAGCAGGGCTTTAGACTCTATTAGTAGATCATGACCTGTTGGTTGGAGACTTTTGCTTAAAAGCTACATGGAAAACGAATAATCAAAAGCATCTTTTGTTGTTAACTTCAGTCTGATTTTCATGGTAGAATTATACTGTTTTTTTCTATCCCAAACTTCTAAAACAAGTCTTACTTTTATGTTTTAGTCAAAGAAGTCTGGCAGAGATCACAGAACTTATCCACACCGCTTTCCTTGTGCATCGTGGGATAGTAAATTTAAGTGAATTGAATTCTTCTGATGGTCCACTGAAAGACATGCAGTTCGGAAATAAAATAGCCATCCTGAGTGGAGACTTCCTTCTAGCAAATGCCTGCACTGGACTAGCCCAGTTGCAGAACACTAAGGTAAAGAAGAAGAAAAAAAAAAAGAACACACACACACACACACACACACATATATACATACACATACCTATATGTAGAAATATGTGTGTTATTTTCATTCTACATATACATAACTATTATCTAATCATTGACTATTTAACCTGAAAAAATAGCAGTTGCCTGGACTAATGCAGTAGCCTGACACTTTGTAAGTAAATGCTGACTAAATGTTAATTTTTGATGGTGCTCCAGGCTATTAATCAGAAATCACCATTGATCAAGGCTGCCACAGTTTCAGAAGTGATTGAGTCATTGATTATGGGAAAAGAAAATATATGATGCCTTTGACATTTGATTTGCATTTATGTAAAAAAGGGAACAGTAAAAAGAAATATCCCCCCACATACTTCAACCTAATCCCACCCTCACTGATGATTAATTCCCTCAATGTAATGCCCCCTTCATGTTGTCACTTCCTAGGCTTTCGGTGTAGTGAAGTCTCTTGTGCTTTACCTTCTGCATTTCCATCTGCACCATAGTTCACATGTGAGTTCCATGTTCCCATTTCCTATTGTTGCTCTTAAGACAATTCTTCCTTTCTACTACTGCATGAATTTTTTGTTTAGTGTCCACAGGCATACTTGTGTTCTTTGGGCTCTGTGTACTCAGGGTTGTGGATATATACCAGGGTTTCAGGAGGTGGGAAATGTTCTATACTATTCTTTTACAATAACTGATGGAATATGTGTTCATGTGAGACTTCTTTCCCCAAAAAAATAAAGATTTAGCTTATTGCTTTTAGCAGTTTCTTCTTTTACTTACCCAGTCACCAATTTAATTTATTTTGATCTTTTCTTAGTGAAAGAGCTACATAAATTTAAGGTATTAATTGTTGTTTATATTAAATAATATATATTGCATTATAAGAATTGGAAATTAATGGCTTGTTTTAAATCAATTTAAACCTTTGTGAGACAATATCTGATGTATTCTATTCATTCACTTAGCACTTTGTGTTATTCACATATACTTTTCCTTCCAATGTTGTGTAACTGTTTGAATTTATGAGAATTAAATGCCTTATTTCCGTTAAAATCAAACCAGGAAGCCTCTGAAATTCACTCAGTATTTTACATTCAAAACCATTGCTGTAAATGTTCCCAGAGTCCAAGACCTCCACCATCTGCTCCGTTAGGCACTGGTTTTTGACATCACTTCTTGATTAAAAAAAAAAAAGTAATAATCTTTAACATTTCAAATCAGCAGCTCAGCTAGAGGCTTCTTGAAATCAATGATCGGCCATTTCTTTTCCTATCAGTAAATCTGTCACCTGCATGTTCCCTGCACGAGTTTTGCACTCCTGGATTTCATTTCATCAGCCTTTCTGTGGGGAGGTATTTTTCCTTTTTAAATCATGGCATGTTTTCACTTAATTTGACAATTTGTCTTGTAACTTTTATTCTCAGCAATTTTCTCTTTTCCTGATCCTAAACATGGATATTTGATTTTTAGAGTTTCTACCTTTGTTCTTTAAGGGGTCATTGAAATCTCTGCAAGGTCAGTTTCAAAAGAGGCTTCATTGACTCATTTTGTTTAAAATACCTGTACTACTATGTTCAGCGTTCTGTGGTTGAGCCTCTGTAAATCTCAGCTTTTGATGTATCACTGTTTTAACCACAGTAGATGACTTCTAAATGATGTGGATCATCTTTGAAAGTGAAGGGATTATAGGTTGATACTAGTGTGCTTAGCATCCAGAGAAATGTATTTGAAGAATGTCTTCTATGTGCTGAAAAGGTTCCTTTCATTCAAGAACTTATAGTTCCCAACAGAATAGTTTTCATACAGATCGAAGTTATGTCTCAGAAATAGAATAATTTATTAATCTCTCAGGTACCTGGCCAGCAAAACAAAACAAAACTCAGAAAACAGGGCGGGGAGCCTCAATACTACCTCTTAAGAGATTTATAAATTTTTAAATTGATATCTTTTTTTACATCACCTTCATTTCCCAATATATGCCTTCCTCTGCCTCACCCAGAGATCCAGTCTTTCTAACAAAGAATAAAAAGAAAGAGAAGGAAGAGCAGTTCAGTAAAACTAACCAACACATCAGTGAAATTAGGCATCATATTCAGTGGTGCACATCCATAGTCTCCTCCCTCCCCCATGTACACGTATTTCTTCAAAGAAGGGAGAGAGGATTATTCTTACATCTCTTCTTAGATGCCAAGCTTTGTCATTATAAACACACAGCTTTCAGTTTTGACTCATTAAGTTTCCATTTACCCTATAATCATTGTTTTCCTGCTTCTGCTTACTTCACTTTGTCTACCTTCTGTGTGTGTTTCATATTCATCTTTTCTTACAACACAATAATATTTGATTGAAATCATTCATGTACCACAGTTTGTTTAGCCATCCCCCAGCCAATGGACATTTACTTTGTTTCTAGTTCTTTTCTACTATGAAAAGGGTTTCCAAAAATGTTTTGGGATATGTGAGGGTATTTTTTTTTTTAAATCTTTGACCTCCTTGGGATGTATGCCTAGCAGTGAGATCTTTAGGTCAAAAAATTTAGGCATTTTAGTCACTTTCTTTGCATAATTTCAAGTTGCTTTTCAGAATAGTTGAACCAATTCATAGCCCTAGCAACAGTATATTAGTGTGCCTTAACTGTAATACATTCTTTATATCTTTTTGTCACCTGCCAATTTGCTGGTTGTGAAGCGAAAGCCCAGAGTTGCTTTGATTTGCTTGTCTCTTAATCATCACTGATTTGGAATATTCTTTCATGTTAATAGCTATATTTTTTCTTTTGAGAACTGTTGGTAATCTTTGACCATTTATCTACCGGGTCTTATAGTTGTGCTAGTTACGTAAATGTCTTGGATGGCCAACATTTAACAGAGACAGAGTTACTACGGAGATTTTTTTTCCTATTTGACTGCTTCCTTTCTTATTACAGTTGTCTTGATTTTGTACATGTGAATGCTTTTCTACTTCACACAATAAAAAAAATCAGTATTATCCTTTGGGATCATGATCACTGCTCCTAGTTTGGATAAGAATTCTCACCCAAACTTAGATATGAAACTTGCATGATTGGAAACTCTGATTTTTTTTTTTGTGGAGTGACCCTTGATATTCAGGTCACATATACATTTTGGTTTTTTTGTGCTGTATGGTGTATGATATTAGTCTAACATTAATTTCTTCCAAATTGCCTGCCTGTTTTCCAGCTAGTTCTTGTCAAATATGGATATTTTCTTTAAGTCACATATTATCTGGGTTTATTGAACACTGGTTGAGTTTAGGTTGTTTCTAATCTGTTTATCTAATCTGTTCCACTGATCTCTTTTTCCATTATTACTCTACTGAAGCCATTGTTTCCATATGTTTATTTACTATTTTCTAGGGATTTTTTTTAAAGGACTTCATAGGTGATTTTGATGTTATGTTTTATTTTGGCAATTCTGAATCTTCTTATCTAAATATCTGTTCTACGTTATATTATCTGCAATTTATACCCAATGATTTTGGACTTCTTTTTTTATAAAGTAAGTTCTCAGGTATTAAGAATGTAAATATAGAGGGTTTTTGTTTGGTTTAAAGTACTAAAATGGTGTCTAACAAAGAGCCTTTCACATAGTAGGTGCTTGGTAAATGAATGAATAAATAGTCTTAGATAAACTTTGGTAATTGGATAATAGGTAAAGGATAATATCTTTTTATTTGTAATATAATTGTAGCATAATGTAAGTTAAGGTTTTTTTCTTTGTAGACACAGATGTGGCTCAGTAAATTAGAGGCAACATGACTTAGCAAATAGAGAGCTAGCCTTGAAGTCTAGAGGAACTGGATTCAAATCCAGTTTGAACTCTGAGCAAGTCACTTATCTTCTCACAATACCTCCAGTCAACTCTCTTAAGATATAAATTATAGAACAGCTCCCTATTGGCATTGATAAGAGAAACTTTGGTTCCTGGGAGCTCAGTACATCAGTAAAATCATAGGTCAGGAGAACAAAAACAACCTCAAATTGTTTTATTTACAGTAACTAAACGTGATTTTTTTAAACTTAAATGCATTCTAGCAAACTAATTTTATTGTGCTACTAGACTCTTGTCTGAGGTTCTGTATGGTTTATTTATCTCTCTACTTCTCTTGGGGCAGACAATTAGATGAAGGATTCCGCCTGTCATAATGAAATGCAGAGCTATTTTATAATTGCCATGGGTAAAATTAGCAAAGTCAATTATTTTCCCTTAGGCCTTTCCCTGAAGATGTTAGAGGTCCACAAGGTAATTGCCTTAGGTAACACTTAGATTTTTTAAATAACACTTAGTATAGAAATTGTTATATTAATCCTCTGGTAATTTTCTTCTTGCTATAGCTGTATACTGTTTCAGTAGTGACATGAGCACAAATGAGATTTATGATTCATGAGGAAAAAGCTCACAATTGATTTAAAAATATTAATGCTGAAGTCCATTCATATGTTTTCAATTACCATAGAGTTGAGGGTAATTTTTTATCTTAGTTCTTTGAGGATCTTCAGATAAAGATATCTCAGAATATCAGTTCTGAAGCCGTAAATTACCTGACCCCATTGAGGTTAGTTGCTGTGTTGTATTTGTGTAAAGCATCACTGTCTATTGTAATGATGGGGCTATGGCAGCCTAAAATCTTAGTACTTGAACATCAGCCTATCAAAGAGACATGCTAAACAATTGGGGGAAATATTACGAAATGGAAAGGGCAGCAATTTTCTAAAACCAATTCACTCTTGTAGGTTCTCTTTAGACTCTGTGTTTATTTGTAGACTAGATTTGTATTTTAAGATTAGGCCACAGTGCAAGTTAGACTCCTTAGACTGCTGTTTGATATGTTGTTGTTCAGTTGTTTTTCAGTAATGTCTGACTCTTCATGACCCGATGTGGGGTTTTCTTGGCAAAGATAGTGGAGCAGTTTGCCTTTTCCTTCTCCAGCTCATTTTACAGATGAGGAAACTGAGGCAA